CGCATCCTCCTTCGTCGAATCCGCCGCTCACTCAAGGCCGCGGTGTGTGACGCTGTGTGTTTCATTGTGAAAGCGAAACTATTTTGTTTAGCCTTCCAAAAGAGGATATGAGGCCTGGACTTTATGTTGTTGTTATATTATGTTTTATGCTGCAATTCCTGTAAGGGGAATGTCCGCGAGGGGCTGCCGCTTTTACTTTTGTTTTGTGTTTGTTAATTTGTTTATTAAAGTTAAAGTTAAATGTTCGCCGGTTCCCGCCAACTTTGTTACAGACCCATTTAAACAAGGAAATGCACAACCTTTAAGGCATCACAGAAGCAGATAAAATGAGAGGAGTGTCTTACTGGTTCTCCAGGTGGGCCGCGGGGACCATCTTTCCCTGTGTTTCCTGGGGGTCCTCTTGCACCGGGTGCTCCAGGAGGGCCTGGAGGTCCAGGTGGGCCAGCTTGTCCTTGATCACCCTGATGAAAACATACAGACATGTGATATCAAATAAATTCCTCAAGTAAGTCACAGCAAAACATAAGCACAAATAACATTCTCTTGAAGTATTTATTTTGTTTCATTATCTTGTTTTATTTGGAAAAGTGAATGGAAGATGATGTTTTAAGATTCATTATCACAGCTTCTTTATTGTATATAAGTCATTTGCCTTTTGTGAATAATAATAATAATACGTTAATAAAAAAAAAATAATAATAATTATGCCTCTAGCACTGTAAAAAATGATTTTTCAAAGTTGTAAATCAAACAGATTAATGGAGTGTTTTACAAGAAAATATTTCTGTCCATTACAAAATTTATTTGTTACTTGCTTTCGGTGTATAATGAAAATTTTTGTCACTACAAGGTTTCCTTATACATCTAATGGAGTGAATCTTGTTAAAAAATGTTATACAATATTTTCAGGATCATTATTTTTGTTTAATTTTTGCACTGTGACATTATTATTATTATTATTATTTTGTATTACATTTCTTAATCCAAAATAAATGTCTTTTATAATATATATATATATATATATATATATATATATACTGT